CCTATGTGTAACAACTACCCAACTGTATAATTCGTCCAAAATATTAATGTTAATCATTATCCGCACTCAAAGTATTAAGTAAATTTGGTAAAATCTATGATCTTTTCAAAAATGTATATACAATAGATATATAGATAGAGTAAGTAACATATAACATATTTGACTACATATATAAGACTAACATAGCAAGTTAGCATTGCAAGACTCTAATGATACAAAGGACAAGGTGCAATTATTGGCAAATATCCCTATGGTCAAAATGAATCATTCGTAGGTGTAACATGAAGAATAAAATCTCATATAATACTTTGGAAAATATTAAAGTGCTCGGACACACATAAGCTGAGATCGGGATCATTTCGTTCAGTAAGGTTGTATTGACTTACATGGGGCTGTGCACCAGTGACTTAACATGAGGATATCAGCAGATCCCAATAGAGGCCATTGGTTTCCATTGATTATCACAGAAATACCAAAAATACACTATGACCTGAATCGATTGCAAACTTAATAATTTCACAATACGACACAAATGGTTTATCTCATCAAATGTGCAAATATGAAGTTTGCAATCGATTCAGGTCATACTTAAAATTAAAAGATTGTACATTTTTTCATCATTTTTTTCCCTACAAAATGGCTATAGAAAAATGCTCCAAAAACAACTTTTACACTCATCAAATATCATACAAGTTTGTAAAACCAAAGATTATACTATTATATTTCATTATGTAGTAAAATATTTGGATAAGATGCAGGGATGCGTAGGATGTAAATGGATTTTGACAGACACAAAAATACTTCCTGGTTTGGAATCTATGCCTCTACACTTCATGATTGAATTATGACCCTAATAAGTGGCCTATACATCAATACAGTGCTGAATATAGGTCAACAAGATACTAGTGTGCATATAAATGTAATAATTGAAGCAGAATACTCATTTTGAAAAATCAGATGAATTATTTTTTTCCCATGGGGAGATCCCAATGGAGGGTGTATAAGGTCCTTTCAGAGTTTCATTCATTTCAACTTCACTAATTCAGCCCAATAACGCATTTACCATTACATAGACAATATTCATGCTTACAAACAAATGAGAACCATTGCATAGCACTAATGCACTATTATTAAAATGACTGAAAGTACTGTGATATAAGATTATAATTGAGTAATAATAGAGAGTAACATATATGTACATTATATTACAGAGGACAAATAACCACTCGCATCACTGCACATCACTTTCAAAATTATGCAGATTTGTACAATCAAAAATCATGTTATCTGAAAACAATAATTTTGATAAATTATCCAGACCTATCAGTTTTGTTCAGAAAATAATTACGAATTTGGTTAACATATAATTATAGATCTACCCCGACATTAACAATGTTCTCTGTCCATTCTGGTATACTGGAGAATCGGTGAATATCCAATGTTATTCTAGTCTTTGAGACTGCATTGTTGAATTCCCCTTGGAATTTTTTGGAAGTTTTTTCTAACAGTTCTCCTTCGCGTACAGTTCCTTTGAAGCCTCCCAAGTCATAAAATTAATATGAGCCATGTCCTTCTCAGACTCATCTGATTTCGTCACAGTTTTCTCTTAAATTGTGATGTCCTCCATCACTTTCACTTATATAATTAGGCACTGTTATCACGTTTGTACTGAACCTCCTCCAGATCTATAGGACAGGCACTGTTCATCATAGGCACGGGTCTAGCCGACTCAAGGACGTCTCCTTGAAAATCAATAGAAGCTACTGCCATGACAGTTCCCTTGTATAGATTTCTTCCTTCTCCTACGTTCAGTACACGATGTGGAACTCTTGTTAAATCCAACGTGCTGGCCAGCAATATACATTATATGAGTAAGTCTTCCATACATTTACTCATCTTTTGTTCCACCAGAAAATCCTTATCCCCACATATGTTCTCATGACATACTACCCTGGCTGGTACAATACACTCAGACCAAACAGGTATGTCAGTACCTGCACTCATGCAGATATCAAAAGTATCCTCTGGGTAGCACTTGATCAGAGTGTCCCGTCCAGGATCATTAATAAAATATCGTCTTCCATATTTAATACACATCTTCTCTACGTCCACAAAAATCAGTTCTGAAATAGCTTCAATAGTCCCAACAACAAGTCACGGCTTGTCTACGATCACTGCAATTATGGCGTTATGGTTATCTTGGTAATAACTGTCCCTAGTGGCTTCATAAGTTCAACATTCGACATCCGAAGGAAATATTCTTACAGGTAAGCAATCATAGTTTTTTTAACAGTCTCAAAATCCGTCCACAACGATTCTCATAATATACAGGACTCATAGGATCATTCAGTCTGTACTGTCTTATTATCCTGCAACCAGCAACAACTTCTTGATATCCTCAAACGAAAGTCTTAGGTCTCTAAAATGGATGGGGTCCAAATCGATATATCACCATGGATACGTATATATGCCCCTCATCAAGAAGTAAAGTTAGCGAAAGTTTTTGCTGTTTAGCTGTGTTACTGCTGATATACAGGAAATCCTATGTTCCAAAAACATTAAAATATGTTCCCAAAATACGCCTTTCTTGAGTAGATCGGGATATTAAAATGTCAAAATCCAACTGCCTCCGAAAGTCCACGTAAATCACAGAGAGTGTCTCTTTAAATTCTGAATTCCTCATTAGCATCACCAATCATTTTGGCAACAATATTCCCAGGTTCAGGGTTGTTATCCATTTTATCGATGTTTTGTCAATGTTAAGTTCAAGAAGAATTGTCCATATAATGTTCTAAGTATGCGTTTATTAAATGTTTTGCGGCATTGCAAAAGACTGAGTTTCTGGATGCTGAACAATAGGTCGCTGTAGACTTTAAACATAAACAGCATATCGAATAACATATTTTATATTTCAAGTAAACAATTTTAAGCTTGGTTCTGGTAGCGTTGTAGTTCTTTGCAAAAGGTTGTGATGACACAGACAGAGTCTATGCAGAAATGATCATGTTAAAATTAATGTAGTTTACTGTTTTATATTGTTAATATTTAGATCCTTCCAAGTTGTGAAGAATATTTTGGTTAATGTCCATTGTTGTCCTAAATTAATTTGATAATGCAATCTTTAGACGTTTTAACACTTTACAGTTCACGGGAAAAAAATGTTCTGTAAATTGGTTCTTTTCAAAATTCGAGCTGCATCACTCTTACAGTCCAAATAACGTTAATGTTCTTTTTAGTCAGAAGAAATGTTTCTCAATACAGGCTAGCGTATTTATATTATCTTAATGTCAATAATTTTCAAAGCATTAAATGTCAATAAAAGTTCAAATGTAAATCAAAATTACTGCACCTACCATTGTATAGTTTCTAGGATAATTCTATATCATTAATCCATGTTTATTTCCTTTGAAAGAAATATCCAAAAATTACTGTCGAATATATCCATATTATATTATGTATGTCCAAAATCCTTTCCAAATTAAAAGTTTTACATCTGTCCAATCAATATTCCAAATTGTCGAATAATTTTAATCTTCTAAGTATCCATAGTCCTTTACTTTATGTGAGTTCGCAAGACACCGCTGCCACCAATGTCCGTTAATTTAAAATGCAAGACCAATGTTCTTCTTGACCAATGTCCATTTTTACTTAAAGTGTGCGCCAAAGTTTAAAACTGCGCAGGCGCACCGCTCTCGCTAAACTATATAAAGAGATTGCCCGGTACACGATTCAGAGGTAAGCCAGAAAGGCGAACGATCTTCGTCTCGTGATGATTTCCCATATAATCTTAACCAGGGAAGTTTCAACATTGAAATTGAAAATTACTATTAGATATACTTTGTAGATGTTATTTATGAAGCTATTTAGTGTTTGCATCAATCAAATGGCTCATTTTGAACATATAAAACGTATTTGTGTTTTGTTTCCCAGGGAATTGTATTGTATGTAGTACACACATAAATAGTGTACATTATACTTGAATAGCCTGGTTTACATAATATTGAAGGGCATGCTGATTACATGCACACGAGTACATGAATGAAGGCCTAATATTGATATACGTAGCTTGCATACCTAAATAAAAAATAAACTCTTCTAATCCCCTAATGTAAACACGGCGGTATACGTAGCCCGATTTATCGGGGACTTTAAAGTATTTTATGATCAATGTCATTGGTGTCCCTTATTGGTAAACGGATCTAAAGTTCCTAAACATTAAGGCCGAGACTTTTTATAGTTTTCATCTTCACTTTATTTTCTAATTTCCAATTGTACAAAGTTCTACACAATTCCATTTCTTCAGATCTTAAACATTCCTCCACTTTCCAAACCCATCTTGCCCTCTCTAACCTGCTCTTATCTTTCTTCAAACCCACAGTCCTTCATGTGGCCCCTGTCTCATTTGTACACATTTTATACCCAGACATTTAGTCTACTGCACTGATATTGACTTTCAAACTGCGCTTTGCCTCTAAGGTAATAGATTCTGTTTCTCAAGACGTTTTGCCTCACCATTTACAGCCGAATTCCACAAGAGGTACTTTCCCACTTCTGTAGAAGGTTTCCCAAAATAGATTACACACAAACTGCTAAGAATTACATTGCATAGATCAACCTCCTTTGGAATGCAATGTGGAAGAGATTCTGTGAGAAGATTGTTTACATAATGTCTGGAACGAGCCCGACACATCCCATCATACTTCTTAAGATACACGATTAGTTACATGGGTACAATGACATTCAAGACAAGGAACAAGTACCTCGTGTGGAAGCAAACTTACTTTTCCTTATGATATGAACGATTATGCCAGAATGTGACATGTGTATGCCAAAATCAGACACGCTTATGCCAAATGATAATTGAAAGTCGCTCAAGCTCTCTTTTCCTTAAAGTATACTAACATACCGTATTCGCTATACTGAGCCAATTTGAAACTGAACAGCATTACCTTATACATTACTAAACCTGCCCTTAATATTTCATCAATGTATTTTAACCAATGCTATATTACTCACAAACTGCATGATTTTAAAATAATTTTTGGCAGAGGGGGGGGGGAACTTCTCTTAACTCCCCTGGCGAGGGGCCTGAGAAAAAATGTATTGGTCTGGTTGCCATTTTATTTTAAAAGTCACTGTTGCTAATGATAATATTCCTATTTTACCTATTCAATGTTGTCTAAATATTTCAATTAGCATTATGTTAGTTTTTGGCTAAGTACAGGGTGTCCAAAAAACAGGACCGTAAGCAAGTTGAATAACTCAGTCAATTTTGCATATTTTGCCTTGAAATTTAAGAATTATTTAGCTCATTCAATGTGAATTTTGTTCTGAAAGTTTGATGATAATCTGTTTATTGTGTAAAAACTGCAGTCCTTTACAAAATATGCTCAAAGATGGTAAATATTGGGGTAGTTATTGCCCTCTTAAGATTGTTAGGGGCGTTTTTTGTTCGATACCCATTTCCAATATGGCGGTTAAACGGAAATACTATCGACGCATGCGCAACTTGGGAAACGTCAAGCCGCCATATTGAATATACCTGGCCAAAACTTTTGACACGACCAATAAAATGAAGTCCTGATCGATACATAGGGCAGTGAGACGTTCTATAGTTGAGCTGAATGAAAGATGGCGATGTAGGATACATTTTTAGGTATATAATGTGCAACATGAGTCAGCTGAATTCCCTGAAATTTTCTTTGAAGTCAGGATTCTTAAGCTGTTGATTCTAGCGATAGAGAGCTATACTTTCAAAATCTAAGTAGCTCTCGACGGGAGTAAGATGAGACAACATTAGTAACATTTGAAACATTAATGGCAATTTTCAAAAAGGTCAGTTTTCAACAGTTTTCAGTAAAATGTGTATTCTACAAAGGCCAGAGGTCAAGGTCATTTTAAGGTAAAATGTCAATATCTAAGTAGTTGACTTTTTAAGTCACTTGGCCTCTGGTGTGACCCTTCACAACCGATGATTAGGTGACCTGAGGTCAAGGTCAACTGAATGGGTCAAGGTTATTCCAAGGTCAATGGTCATTTATATTGATCACCAACAAAGGGGGGTTGGCAGCCATTTTTCAAACTCGATACTCCGTTGCCTGCAGTGGCACAATTTAGTGAAAATATTTCTGTAAAGTTCTCTTTGGACTTTTGGTAATATTCAATCTTCCTCAGCAGTTCTAGTCTTCAGAATATGACCAAACTCATACCTGCCAACCTAAGACCAAAATTTTGCGGTAGATTTTTTTAAAATTGCTGTATTTTTGCGGTAGATTTTTTCAAAATACGGTAGTTTTTGCGGTATTTTTCAACAAAATTGCGGTAGTTTTTGCGGTAGATTTTAGAAAAAAACGGTAGTTTTTGCGGCAGATTTAAAAAAACGGTAGTTTTTGCGGTAGATTTAAAAAAATACGGTAGTTTTTGCGGTAGATTTTTAAAAAATACTGTAGTTTCAGAGGTTTGCGGTAGGAATTTGAAAAAGCGGTAGTTTTGCAGAAGATTTAGAATAAATGCGGTAGTTTTACGGTAGATTTAAAAAATGCGGTAGTTTTTTTTTAAAAACCGGTAGTTTTGCGGAAGATTTTGAAAAAATGCGGTAGTTTTACGGTAGATTTCGAAAATTGCGGTAGTTTTTACGGTAATTTTTGGAAAAAACTGTACTTTTGCGGAAGATTTTGAAAAAATGCGGTAGTTTTACGGTAGATTTTGAAACTTGCAGTAGTTTTTACGGTAATTTTTTGAAAAACTGGTACTCTTGCCAAAGATTTGCCAAAATGCGGTATTTTTCGGTAGATTTTGAAAAATGCGGTAGTTAAACCTTTATACAATGCGGTTTTCTATATTAATACAATGTTTACCACCTGAGAATTATACGAAACTATTATTTTCAAGAAAAAATAGATATACTATTTTCAAGAATAAATAGAGACTTAACACTTTTTATTCTTCATTTACCATGCCTACAATGGACTGACAGCAACTTTGGATTTTAATGTTTCAGCAAAATGTACATGTATATGGATACAACTCTTTTACAATAAATCTAGATTGATTCAAAATACGAGCACAATATTCATATCTCCACTTTTATTCACCTTCTAACCAGTTTTTTTAGATATCAGGATGTTTGGAAATACCAATGAAACATTTACTGAAATACAAAATATGGATTTTACACGTTTTTACTCATCATCTTAGATGATCTATCACTTTAACGAATTCAAATGACAGACATAATGTTCATAACATTGGAATCATATGGTATTAAATATTGATTTGTTCACTCGCAAGTCTCTAATGATATCAATGTGTTTGTCTGGCACAAATAGAAAATAAGTACAGATCAATTGTCTTTCAAAATAATCTGTTATGAGCATTTGCTGAAACCTTTCCCCTGACTTTTTATGAAAACATTAAATTAAGATAAAAAGTGTCAATTGCATCATTTGATAATAACAATGGGTAAATAATACTTTCAAAAATGGCCCTATGAGAATAAAAATGTCCCAACTCACATTTTTGTGAAATGGAGAAATCAATTTTTGAAAGTTTGGGCATCTGTAACTTCAATACTATCTATCTGTCATTTGTTTGGTTAAAGTGATACATAGAACAAAGTTAAATTGTATATTTGAATTTTTATGGAGTTAGGACAATTTGACACTGAAAAGCAGGCTATTGAGAGGAGATAAAGGTAAAGGAATATCTCAGTAAGAAAGAGGATGATTTAAATAGTGAAAATCTCATTTTTTCAAAAATGGCACTTGTGACATTATTATTCTCATACAAAGAAATATAAGTTCATGTGGTTTAAACTTCACACAAGGCCTTAAATGTCAACCTAATTTCAACCATAACATGTATAGACATTAACATACCAATCATCAAAGCCACATTAAATTCCTGTATGTTATAATACATGGGTTTAATAATATTTTTTAATGTTTGATCCAAAATCATATTTATACCCAAAGAGACTTGAGAATGCAATCCAGCCATGCATAATGAATAGTACACGTTTACTAGAATAAAAGATGTCACCTGCATCTCACTTATACATGTGGCATGTCATGAGAAATAAACATAATTTGCATAATGTACCTATAACTGATGCTGCCTGATGACCATCCTGCCAATGGTCGTGATGTAAACCCCTATGATCATAGGGTATGGGGAGGTTTCCAGAAGATGGGCAATGAAAAGTTGGAAGAAACTTAGCCAACATGTCATCAATAATGCTATACAGCATGGGAACTAAAACTAAAACTATCATCAAAAAGGGTGGCGAACCAATTGAACATCTCTTTTAAGAGCAAATACAATCCTAAGTTAAAGTATTCATTACATTAGCCTTCTTTATTAATCAGGACTACTGGCCCTATATAACTGAACAATTGTATGTATGCAGGTTGGATAATCAAAAGTTATAGCATTTTTTAAATGGCATTTTTGGCTCACCCTGTAGTTCTGTTGTTGATGAAATCATCCCAAAATAAGTACAAACCGTCATACATGTAATTGCATGAAGTGCATATAATGTCATTCCAATTTGTTTGTTGTTTTTCAGTCAACAGCTCAGATGACTGGCACAGATTCCTGGATTCAATTACCATTATGGAAATAAACTTGATTTACAGATGACACGAGAACAAAGACATTTATTTGGACACCAGGGCATAATGCCTTTGAAAGGAGATTGAAGGAATATCATTTAATTGACAAGGTACCTGGTACTGTACATAACCTAATGAGCCAGAAGTTTAAAAGTGAATCTGAAAATAAATGATTATTGCTGCAGTTTAGTGTACAATGTACTTATAATCAGTCTGGAGAAAAATATTGTGCTGAGCCAGTAAAAATGTACTGTTCAATGTAAAACACAAATATCTGGCACAAAGAAGGCATTCTGGATGTGTAGTGGATATTACAACATTATTTGTGCTAACCTATTTTCACAAACATAAATGGCAACACATAATGTTGATGCTCAACGTAGCATCTTTACAAATCAACAATTAAACTGGTGCATTGTTCTTTGTATTGGAAGATGCTTCCCAAGATATCATTCAGAGATGAACTCCAGTAATCAAAATACAGAAAGGTGAACATGTTTCATTTACAGGGTGGACCACAAATTATATAATTTTACTACTGTACACATCCTTATTATTGTTTTATATCTTTTGAAAATAAAATTCAAATACAATCTCATAAAAGAGTAAGTATTAATTGCTGATTAAATCATTCTTGAGTTAGCATAGACTAGGCTAAATAATTCAGAATAGGTAATTGAAATTCTATACTTTTGTTTTTTTACCTGATGTTTTGAACCTGAGATTTAATATGGTTACCATGGTAACAGATATGTTAAGTTGACTAAAGTTTCTTATGAACTTTCAAGATAATGTCATCATGATGATGACCCATATCAAACCTCACAACAACTCATTATCAACTGAATGAAATATCTGTATTTCAACAATACAGTTTCAAAAAAATCTTTACAAAATGTTATATTTAAATGATAATGTATCAAATAGACTTCTGTATTTGAAATCTTATTATGACATTAAGTCATTATATATAAACATCTGGATACAACCCTATCCTTTATTTAATTTAGAATGTTTTATTCTGAATAAGAAATAATTGTGACATGCACCAACTGTAAAAAATGACATGTAATGTGCTGATATTGCTAATACAAAACCATTGTCTTTGAATACAGATATTTGAATATTTTCTTGTTATTAAAGATACCAAGGTGAATATGGTTACTATGGCAACCCACAACGCCATCACTTGGTGTTATACATGTATCTTCAAGCCTTTGTTATTTCCATGACCCATGATAAGTTTCATTGCATTTGGTTCAGGATTAAGTCTTATATCCAGGTTTTCATAATGGAAGTGCAAAATATGTCAAAAACCTGTCCGATTTAAAGACAATGCGGCACTGAGACGTCTGTTTTGAAACCTATTAAGGCATCAATCAATCATATCCTAA